ATTGTATTAAGAATATATATATATATATATATATATATATATATATATATATAAACAATGATCGTAGGTTATTATACGAGCCCCTAGCCATCCTCATATTCGAGGACTGCCCTGACTACTGGCAAACTGACCAGACGGGGATTTGAACCCGTGACCTGAGAGGACTTCCGACGTTCAAAAAAGCTACTCTACCATCAGGTTATGGCTGCTAGCGCAAGTGCACACAAACACACACACACACACACAGATATATATATAATTGATGAGTAGTATTTCTAGTCAAAATGAGTTGAACACGAACGAATAAATCTTTGCTAATGTTCGGCTTGTTTATATATCGAGCACAAAAAAAAATGTTCGTATTGATCTCGTTCACTTGGCGAACGAATCAAACGCGAGTTGTTCACGAACGAGCCGTTTTGACAGCGTTACCCCCAAGTAAATATTGTTTATATAATAATTAAAAAAAACTCTAAAATACATAAGCATATATCTCAGATCATTCAATTCTTTTTGCAGAAAATTTGATCACTACAACTTGATGAATCAAAATTTCCCATTATTAACATTTTGAATAGATGATACACAAAGCTGAGTTAAACAAACTCATTAAACATAACTTAAGATAGTCTTACCTCAAATCAGGAGCTCGCTCAGTTTTCAGGAAAAAACTGAAACAAATTTAAGTTAAAAACACCTGCTGCACAGTTGATCCCCACTCTATAGACTTGGCCAACTCAACCAAAACCTTCAGGAGACAACAATGGCTACATAGTAGAGGACTATATCAATCTGAATCAAAAAAAATCAAATTTTTTTCATCAATTTTTCAGCTCTGAACTTTCTCCACCTTCGCTTTGATTTTCTGCTCCAGAATAGCTTTCTCTGTATCAAGACTGAACATTCTGTTCAGCGCATGCATGTTCTCCAATGTCTCATCAAGAGTTCTGCTATCGCTGCCGTCGCACCTCAGGTGCTGCAGAGGTCCATGCAGAAGCTTATTCACGATGCCGCTGGCAAGATCTTCGACAGCTCTCCTCACCTTCTTTGTCAGAACATCGTCCCCCATCTTCTGCATGCATTTCTCAAGTTCGGCGGCTTTGATTCTCTCGGCATAAGACCTCAGTTTCTTTATCGTCGGCACGGTTTCCAGCGAGTCTCGCCATGCCTCAAAGCTCTTCATCTCCTGCGTGATTATGGCTTGGGCTTCCATTGCCTTCCTCAATCTGTCTTCTTTGTTGGCTTCCACCACCTCTTTAAGATCATCAACATTGTACAGCCTTGCGGTTTGGACATCAGAGACGCATGATCCTACATTCCTGGGAACAGATATATCAACAAAAAGCCTAAATCCACCCACACTTTTGCTCACAGGAGGAAGGTTTTCTACATGTTCTTTCAAGAATAATGGTGTCTCTGAAGCAGTGCTGGTGAAGACAACATCAGCTTCTGCGGCGGAAGAGAGCATTTCAGTAAGAGGTTTGTAGATTATTTCGATATCTTCCAGTTCGTCACGAATGGCGTTGACCTTCGCCATTGAAGGATTAACAACGACAACTCTTTTGCACCCTTTGGCGGCTAGATGTTTGATTACAAGCTTCCCCATCTTGCCGGCACCGACCAGGAGCATTCTGGCTGAGAGGGCATGGGAAGCTGGGAGCTTCATTAAGGCGAGTTCGACGGCAGCGGAGCTGACAGAGACAGCGCCGGAAGAAATGTTGGTGTCAGTGCGAACCTTTTTTCCGGCGGAGATTGCGTCCTTGAAAAGCCGGTCGATGTTCTTTCCGAGACCTCCGCTTGATTGAGCAACCTTAACCACTTGCTTTACTTGAGCGAGGATTTGGCCCTCCCCTAAGACTAGAGAATCAAGGCCAGCTGCAACCTCAAATAAATGTCTTGTGGCGTCGCTATCACGCAGCAAAAAAAGATGATCTCTAAGCTCAGAAACAGGAATCCCACTTGTCTGTTGAGAGCAGAAAGAAGAAAACTTTAAGAATTTGGTGACTTGTAGAAGACATAAAAACTAAAAAACCAAACACTTTTACCCATTTTTTTCTTCTTCAGGAAAGAAAAACAAAAAGAGGTGGCATTTGCATACAAAACACACAATTCTTTATGTATTTGTATATCTCAAGCACCTAAACTTTGATATTTATTGCACTCAAATCACTAAAATCACATCAAAAATAGCATTTTTATCACTTCATAAAAAGTAAAATACACATTTTTATGCATGAGTTTACAAATACCAAGGTGCTATGTATGTAAATATGAAAGTTTAGGTGTGAGATACGTAAATACATAAAAAATTATGTGCTACATGTGTAAATTTCCCAAAAAGAAAAGTAGATGGATTCACCTTTGACATCCATTCCATCACTTCTCTGATTCCGCGGTTCCAAGATAGAGCGACCACATAAATCTCCATTCGGTTGCAGGTGCTAAGAACAGCCGCTTCCTCTATATGGTTCAGGTTGCATAGCTCTCCAATGGCGCGGGGCCACTGAGCTTCAGGAACAGCAAGCTTTTCTCGCATCTCCACAGGCGCAGTATGAACGCTCAGTCCTATAACAGCAACGCTACTCCTTTCCTTCATGTATCCTGATCATAGCAAGCAGAAAATTAAATATTTTACCAGCAAATGCCAGTTAGGTAAAATTTAAAACAGACAACAAAAAGATGAAGATTTACATACATACCACTTAATTCCTATGTATTCACATGTCTAACACCTAAATTTCAATTTTTACATGTATGTCATCTAACCTATGCATGAAAATGTGTATTTCACCTTTTTAGAAGTTAAAATAGTAATATTTTTTCGATAACTGATATGAAAATTTTTGGTGGTATACATGTAAAAAGTAAGCTTTAGGTGTTAGATCTGTAAGCACATAGCCCCCTCTTTACGAGGCAAGAATGTTAGTGCTGGAATTTAAGTAATGTATGCAGGAATAAAGTGGTTATACAAGAGAGAACAAATTTCAATTTGAGCAAACTACTAAACCCGCAAGAAAAAAATGCCATAAAATTGAAAGGAAAGTGATGATTAGAATTAATATAAGGTCCTGTTCTAGAAGTGCCTTCCAAGAAGATGATAAATAAAAATGCAAAAACAATTTTTTGGGGGGGCATTTACATAGTTACCAACCAATTGTTATATATTAACATATCAACCGCCCAAACTTCATGATTCAGCTAGCAAGAGACTTATTTATGATGTTTTCAAATGTACTTCTTGCTAGATTTGCTTGATAAAACAACGAAGTATTTCTTAGTTAATTTGAGAAAAACATATGCGCATAAATAATTCTACCATATAAGACATCACATAGCAAGCACAGAAAAAAGCTCAAAAACATTATAATAATGGAAGAATTATATGGTTACCACTCAATTCTTATGTATTTTACATATTTAATCTAACACCAAATTTTCTATTTTTACATACACGCCACATTATCTATGCATCAAAATGTATATTTCACTTTTTAAAAGTTGAAATGATTGTATTTTTAATGTGATATGAAAGATTTTGAGGGTATAAATGCAAAGAGTAAAGTTTATGTATTACATATGTAAATATATATGAGTTGAATGGAATGAATGTAAATGACCCAACAATAATTAGCCACAAGATCTATTCAGTCAAAGGCATGTTTTAGAGGAGCTAAAAAATACGAAAGATTGTTCTCCGACATTAGTTCAAATGGTACAACTCCGTATTGGATTTAGTGCTTGTGTGGTGTATGTTGCAAAAAAAATGTCAAAATTATATATGATTATATTTTATTTTAATGCCAAAGCCATAAATTCATCATGCTATACAATTTGATGATGTGCGCTAGGATGAACGTATCGCTCCACATAAAATGATAAGATGTGCTCCAATATGACATTTACATACATACCATCCAATTCTTACGTATTTACATATCTAACACCTAAACTTTGGTTTTTTTACACTTATAGCACCCAAATCTTTTATATCATATAAAAATTATCACTATTTAACTTTGAAAAAGTGAAATGCACCCTTTCATGCATGACAAGAATAAAAATTGAAATATAAATTTTAGATATACAAATACATAAGAATTGAGTGGGGTGTATGTAAATCTTCCAAAAAAAATTTCCTCTCATAGTCCTCAATATTTCACAAGCAATAGCTAATGAGCAACATGTTCCCATAATATTATAAAAACAAAAAATTTTTAATGGTTTTCATTTATTTCACTTCTAAATTCTCATATAGTGAATTGATGAGGAAGTCATTCGCTGGGCATAACATAGTAGTTTTTGATCCAATTCAAACAAAATGATAAAAAAAGTATCTTAAATAGAAAATGGAATGGAAGATATGATAGCTATGATAGTTACTCCTAAGAACCAAATCTCAGTGCCAATGGATAAGCCAGAGGATGTTCATGTGATAGATGAGAAAAAAAGCTGTTTTGATTAATAAGACCGCCCGTAGTTTTTTTGAGACCAACAATTTACGAGAAAAGGAATTGAAGTAACTTATGGAGGAATAAATGAAGAAAATATATACATAGACCTCACCGAGAATAATATGATGCAATCAAATATTATAAATTGTTTAAGCGATCGTCGTCCAAGGTATACAATGTGAATTGAATGGCATTGGCATCTAAAACCAAGATATGCTACTTGACAACAGTAATATTACCTGTAGTTTATAATTATGTTCTAACTACCATATTCCTCATTAGGTTATCTCTAGTTACCACAACCATATGAGAGGACATTAATGAAATTTATGTAGTTTTCATGATTATTTCCATTGCATTAACAAAAAAAAACCTAGTATACGCTCTATACTTGAAAACAAAGAACAGGAGGAATTTCATGCCGAAGTCATCATCTACAGGCCTTGTTGTCAAAAGGAGTTCATAAAAATCGGATTTGCTTCAGATTATTAATTCTTGAAACAATTAAATGGTAAATTGCAGTGTTCTCACATTAGAAAAGCAGTGCAATTTCTTTTTATTGGAAAGAAGTAGATATTTCCATAAAAAGGGTTGATTCTCTATTACAAAGTCTGCACACATTGCAATATGCTTAGAACATAATCAATCATCATGCACAGTACACAAAGCCTCACAAAATCCAAAATTTTTGTAAAATAAAAAAGCTAAACCTATCAAATCCAGCTTTTGTCACTAATGTTCATAACAAGTTTCAAGCTTTGTTACAATTTAATCCCACCGGCAATCAAATACAGTTTTTGAACAACTTCAAATACCCAAAATCAATCTAAACAAACCCAAAAAAAGACAAATCGTATCGCCTAAAGCTCACATGGCAAGGATCTGATCCAGATTCGATCTCAAATTACTAATCAAACTCGCATTATGGTTTCTTTTTTTTCTTTAGGGGCGAATTAACAGAAGTATAGGAATAGAGAGATACTTACGGTCGCTGCCGAGGGCCTTGAACTGCTCGAGCGCGGAAATACTGGAAGCCCTAGAATCGGATGAAACTTTCACTCTAAAATTCAAGGCCGCTTCGCACCTTACCCCTCTTCTCCTTAATCCCCTGCTCCGCGGCGGCACCGCGAAGCTTCCGATTTCGAAGCTTCCACCCGACCTCCTGAGAAAAATAAAGGAACCCGGCTTCGCAATCGCGAGAGAGGTCGTGAAGGCTGGCGTCGTCGAAGCAGCCATGGATCAAATCAGCAACTGCAGCAACAGACTCCTGAGAGAATCAAGGATTACCGATAGCAGGACTAGCTCTTCTCTTCTTCAGGCCTTCCCTTAACGCCGACCCTCACTTCCTTTCAATTCTGCACCCTTGGAAAACTTCTAAGAGATCATAAAAGAGAGGTTTTTGTACTGTTAAATGGCCGGCAGGAAGAAGATGTCCTGTGCTAGGTCGTAGAGGCGACCCAAAACGTGTGGTGGGCGGTTGGTGGGTGGGTAGGGGTGGGGAACCACACGCCGGAAATTAAAAAAATTAGGGCATCGTCGGGCGCGTGGTGGAGACGACATTTGAATATTTTGTTCTCACCTTCGACGTGTTCCTATTGGTTGGCCCTTCTTGCTTTATCTCCTTATCTCTTTATCCCGCTATTTTTATTTTTTATTTTTTTTTATCTTACCCAATACATATCAACTAATATTACCATATTTAATATTTAATTTGTTTAACAGCAATATTCTTATTTATATATAGCCTAAAATAGTTAGCTTGGGTCAATACTCATGCACAAACTCACTATTGACTTTTTTTTCTATTTCAAATATTATTGTGCAAATGTATAAAAACAATAAGTAAATCAAGCGATCATGAATTAGACACGTGTTTGAAGATCGCTTCGACTAGGAGCCTGAGCAGGTCAGTCAAATTAACCAAGAGACGGAGGAGAGGATTATTTAGACAAATGATCGAAGAAACTGATTAGCCGAAAGGCCGATCGATCCAGGAAACGATTGAAATAGGAGATAGTCGTCGGAAGACAAAACAAGTCCATCAAATACTTGCTCGACCAAGCAACAACCCCTGAAAGACCGATCGATGGAATCCGACCAAGACTTAATATGAGGAATAAACACAAAAAGAGTAGATTGAGTTATATTTGTAATTGAGTATTATATTTGATGTGTTAAAATGTTATTTAGATTTTAAATAAGTAAATATATAACTTTAGGGGTTGAAATTATCAATATAATGTTATTATGTGATATGCACATAAATCCCAAAAAAGATTAATAATATATGCTACATGATACATATAAATAAACTACCAATAGTTATAATGATGAACTAATTTAAGTAAAAATTTGAAAGACTTCTTAGATCATACCATATCAAGCACATTTTTTTTATGATGAAACTAATAGTCCGGACATAATCAAAAGTGTGGAATCAATGCTTGATTTTTTTCTGCTGAATCAATAGCAAGAAAAGTTCAAAACAACATCATAACTATCAAATAAGATATGAAATATCAAGTAAACAATGTAAACATTTGCTCAAATTAGAGATATAATGACTCTAAACTAATCATTCTTGATAGACATAAAAAAATATTCATTGTCTAGCATAAATCTCGAGACAATTTTTTAGCAAGAACATTCAAATTTAGATTAAAAGTTAATTAGAACTCCGATTTCAGCAAATAAGACTGGCCCAATGATACCAAAAATGGTTCAAATCAAGTCATTAAACAGGCTTCAGAAGATTTAAGTGTATAATTGGGAAAGATCAAACTGATTACAAATCAAGCATGTTTCTAGTCAAATCGAGCGTGTCGTCAAGACGAATCCAATGAGACTCTATTTTTTTTATATGAGATAAGAGTAGACTTGTATATTTATCATTCATAATGAATTAATTCAACTGAGCAGACCCCCGTTGTTTCTTTTTCCCTTTATAGGGTTTTCCACTTAAAAATTGAGGTGTCTTCTAATACTTATTTTTCTTTAATTACCTGAGTGAATGATACGTCACCAACAAATTTCATCATATAGCACGAATCTCAAGACAATTTTTGAACATGAAACATCCATACTTCAATTAAGAGTAATCCAGAAGGCCGATTTAAGCAAACATATAGTCAAACTAAACGGCTCGATGGGACGAACTTAATGATATCAATGTTACTCCAAACCGAGTCAAATCAAGCTCACATCAAATCATTAAAACACTTTTAGAAGGTCAAACAAATGTCAAATCTGACAAGTTCATAGTCAAATTGAGTGTCTTGACAAGATAAATCCAACGAACCCAAGATTGTTCAATTCTGACATCGTTAAGACACTCAAATGTCAATTAAACATCTTCTAAATGAAAGAAACTCTCCGAACAATCAAAATAATTTATATTCTTGCATTAATTGCACCATGAACACTATTAATAGAATCTCATGCTTGAGCCTTGAGAGAGAACTTGAAGCTTTAAGAACGAGTTGAAGTCTAGCACCATACCCGTTGATCGCTGTCGACCGACGCTGACCTCTATCGACCACCGCCGACCATCGTCAACCACCGCCGACTAACGTCGACATCTGTCGATCGTTTGTCAATCATTGTTGACCGCCGCCGACCACCAACAATCGTCGTCGAGCATTACTGTCATCGTTAACAACCTTCGACCATCATCGACCACCACTGACCGTTGTCGATCACCGTCAATCGTTGTCGGGCACCACTAACTAGACGTCGTCAAACGACATTGTCACTTGAAAAATTCAAAAACTCTTTTCCATATTTTTGAATGATGAAAACAAATTACAGCTTTTACTATAATTAGTACCACGTAAACAAATCTAATTCTTTAAAGCATCCTCCCACACATAATTTTAAAAAAAAAAACAACAACAAACATTAGCCAAATGAATGCATGACAATACCTAAAAAAATGAAACAGTGAAAAGAGCAATCCTAAACAGGCCTTAAGATATATACAAATGCATAATAGTAGCTCCCTCACAAATGTTGTAAAAGATTACAATAAGAGAAATAGTACCTATCAAATATGGTAAATATCCACACTCACATGATCATTTTAATTTAAATTTACCAAATTATCCTTGAGAGTGGCCTCTCGCCAAATTCAACAAGCGTACCATTTCTCTTACAATAAAATATATGACCTCCAATTTATGAGAATATATTACACCCCGATGACGAACGTGCGGAGGACGAAGTAGATCGCACCACACCACCGAACGTACGGTGTGATGCGATTTACTTTGTCGTCCAGACAATATTTTCTCCCAATTTATACATACTTAATGTTGGAGTCAAAAGCCCGAAACTTCTACCCCCATTTGTGATTAATAATGACCCAATCACCACACACAAACAGGTCCATAGAAAATAAAAAAGAAAAGCATAAACTACTTAGCTTCAAAATCCATGAAACAGAATACCAAAATAAAATGAAAAGGACAAAGTTTGCAAGGAGGATGAAAAATGCAAATTTACAGCATCCATTCATCCCAATGATCCTTGCATAAAAAGCACCTTTCATCCTATTCTCTAACCCGTCCAATTAATTCAACAATAACTGTGCATTCTTCACAACTCCAGATTGAGCACAGGCCATGCTGTTAAGGCTAAGTTCTTTCACCTCGCCAGACAGAGCAACAGCAACCCGGTTAATGTCCTTCACATCAGCTAAAGAAATTTCCAGGGAAAAAGTAGATGTAGGGGGAGATTCTGATGAAGAGATGACTGAAGATACTGATTCCTTTGTCAGAACTGAATTCGACGGCGGCGAAGAAAAAACTGGGATGACAGGTCTTAATCTGACCGGAGATGCGATTTGAAATGGTGGTGCTGATGAAACTGGAAGATGTCCCTGTGGTGGCTGAAGCGGCGGAGCCGAGAATACCGGCACAGCAGTTCTGATCGTTACCGGCGGAGCGACACCATGAAGTGGAACTCCGTAGTGCCGGACCGGTACATAGCGTAGAGCTCCTGCTGCAGGGAACTTCGGAGGCCGGGATTTATTTTCCGGCGGCGAGGCTGTTGAGGACAATAATGTGGTTCCGTCGGTTCTTGGAACAGATTTGGGTTGGATTAAAGGTAAGATCTTTGAACCAGAGAGAGGGACTTGCTGGATAAATGTGGATTTTTTCTCAGATTGTTGGGGAAACTTCTTCGGAAAAGGGGCGGCACGAGGGTTGTTCGCCGCCGTCATCTTCTCCTTCAAGTGGTGATTCAGAAGCGCACGAGCAATGGCGCTTTGGTCCTGTTCGTCGTTGTTCTCTGGATCTGAGGAGGAGCTTGTTGCTTCCTTTGCCACTGTTGCAGAGAAAATAAACTGGAACTTAGGATGAAATGCTACCAAGAGAAGAGAAAAGGAATGGAACGTAAAGAATTTGAAGCATTTAAATACATAGGACCCAATTTGATTTTTATATTTATCTTTCATATCACATTAAAAATATGATTATTTTAAATTTAGAAGATTTATGCATACATATCACTCAATTCCTACATGTATTTACATATCTAACACCTAAACTTTTGTGATGTATATCACCTTACCCTTACCTAGGTGTGAAAAAGTGTTTTTAACTTTTCAAAATTTAAAATAGTGATATTTTTATATGATATGAAGGATTTAGAATGTATAAATATAAAAAACAAAATTTAGATATTAAATATTTAAATACTTAGGAATTGTGTGGTATTTGTGTAAAAGCCCATTTAAATTTTAGGGGTATTTAAATGCATACCACACAATTCTGATATATTTACATACCCCAAAAACATCCATATTTAGGTGCATACAGCTCAATTCCTTTATATTTCATTAATAATACCACTAACATTATCTTTTTTTAAAGTGAAATAAGTGTATATATAAAACTTTAGGTGTTAGATATGTAAATACATAAAAATTGTCTGGTATATACACAAATTTCCCTATATTTTAAAAAGTACAACACGCCTTTACATGCATAGTTAAGTTGGCATGGAAGTATAGATTAAAGCTTAGGTGTTAGATATGTAAATCTTCCTAAGAAATTTGGGTGTGCTAAGTTATACATCCATCTAACACTTTTGCATACATACCAACCAAGTCCTAAGTATTTACACATTGAACACTTGAACTTTATTTTTTTACATTTATATTACCAAAATCTCTCATATCACATCAAAAATACCATTGTCTAAGCTTCTAAAAAGCTAAAAGCAACTTTCCATGCACAGGCAAGGTGGAATTTATGCCAAAATTGAAGTGTTGGTGCTACATATGTAAATAAATACGAATCGAGAGGTATGCATGTAAATATATCAGAAGTACGACTAGAAAAAAAGCTCACATTTTTTAAGCAAATGCCAGGCAGCCATGGCAGCATTTTTCTCAGCCTGCTTCTTGTTCTTCGCTGGGCTCCCAGTGAAAGTAATCCCAGCTAGCTCAACGTTACATGTGAAGACTGGCTGGTGTCCGAGACCTGAACGGATTGTAGTGTAAGATGGCAATGGTGCTGCAACTCTCCTAGAAATCTCTTGCAAGAGATTCTTGTAAACTCCAGTTTCATCCTGCTAGAAAATAAATTTTCAACTTTAGAAATGATTATTTGCATATTCAGAATGATTCAGTGTTAAAATATAGGTCAAAACTAATTCAGAGTGGGGAAAATGAAACGAAAGTTAGAAAAATGGATTAAAGGTTTGCAAATTGATGGTTGCATCATGTTGTCACTGTTGCAAATTTAACTAAAATTTGATTTTGCAAATTGCAACTCTATATTTTAGAATTTGTGACCCTAATTATGTTCAGCTTGGTTATGATGCATCTGCGGTGGCCAAAGCAAAATCATGAGAAAATCTTGTTTGCCATCTTTGTTGATAGTGGAGGGATTGGACCAATAAGCTCCAACATTGAAGCCCACGGCTAATTCCACTATGGCGCAGGGGAAGCAACCGCCATGATGTGGACCATTATTATTAAAAGGTGTATTCCACTTTTTAAAAGTTAAGATAGTGATCTTTTTGTTGTGATATGAAATATTTAGGTGGTATAATGTAAAAAAGCAAAGTCTAGGAGTTATACATGCAAATACATAGGGATTTTGTGGTATATATGTAAATATTAAAGTCTGTGTGAAATACATAAATCCATAAAAATTGCGTGCTCCCTATGTAAATTTCTCAAAAGATAAAGCTTCTCACTCAGCTCCAATATTACTAATTTAGCCGTTGGGGATTAGGCGGTCTATTGATTAAAATAACCAAAAGCAAATAACAGAAACAAAAAAATGCACAGAAGCACAAAACACACCAATTACTTTGACGATGATGAAGTTTCTTTCCTGATTAGTTCTACAACATCTCTCTTATTACGCTCTTTTCTAATCTCTCTTCAATAAAATCCAAAATCTAACAGTAATCATACTGTAAAGATCAATCTGCAAACTTAGTTTACGCAAAGTTTTTCTTTGTAAGGATTAATTAAGCTCCACAACTTAACATTAGATAATTGTTATCACGCATTTTCTAAGCAAACTTTGATCAGACTTGCACATATTCTGATTGAATTTTTTATGATATTGTTTAATTCTCATTCGCCATATGGCTAAGCAAGAAGAGTACAAAGTTCTACTACACATTAAGCTGATCATAATCAAAATTCAAACTCAAGTTTAAACAGCCGACTAAGATGCCAAATGTTGGAAGCAATGGAATGCAGCCAAAAGATTGGAATAACAACAACATAAAGGTTCAACAAAAGCGACGATTATGATTTAGAACTATTTCCAAAAGGGTTATTCTTTCCCTTTTCATTTTTATTTTTGTAATTTGTTTAAAAGAATATGTTTGTTGAGTATATCTTCCAAATGTTTTTATTTTTATGTTTCTAAGAACAAATCAACTTACTCTTAAAAACACTCAAAAACAAATTTATTTTCAACATCCAAACATACCCAATTGCAAATCAAATATAAAAAAACAAAATAAAAAATAAAGGAAGATTTATGTTCATACCACTGAATTCCTATGTATTTAGATATCTAACACCTAAAATTCAACTTCTACATACATGTCACCTTAACTATGCATGAAAATGCGTATTTTAATTCTTAAAAGTTAAAATGGAGATATTTTTTATGCGAGATATGAATGATTTGAGTGGCATAAATGTAAGAAGTAAAATTTAGCTGTTAAATACATAAGAATTGGGTTGTATATATGTGTGTAAATGCCCCAAAAATAGAAAATAAAACGGATCCTAAACGGCCACTAAGTTTATCTTTAGCTGATATATTTTCGGCTCTAATAAAAATGATAATGATTGCACATTTCCATATCAAATTAAGTAATAAAAAATGAAAGTTAATGGAGCAAAACAAGCATTAACATAATTAACCTCCAAGTTGATTAAAAATAAAATTTTAGACAGACTTGTGAAAGCAATTTTAAGTTAATTAACCAAAAAATCATTTTTGGGGACACCAAAGTCTTATAAATGTAAAAATCAAACTTCAGACGTTAGGTATGTAAATATATAGGAACAGCGTGCATGTAAATTTTCCTTCATACCATTATATATTCAAAAACAAATAGAAGTTCTTTCAACTAAGTTAGTTAATAAAAAAAAATGGAAATTTACATCCATAACACTCAATTCCTATGAATTTACATATCTACCACCTAAACTTAACCTTTTACGTCTATGCCGGAATGAAAAGTTCTATTTCACTATTTAAAAATAAAAAAGTTGATATTTTTGTTATGTCATATGAAAGATTTGGCAAGCATAAATGTAAAAAATAAAGTTTAGATGCCAGATAAGTGCGTACATAAAAACTGGGTGGGTGGTGCGCGCGTAAATGCCCTGAAATTTAAAAAAAAATTATAAATATCATACATCAAATTTGTATTTCAAAAAAAAAATCAACTTTTCAAAATGAAAAATAGATAAATGATATAGAGTCATCTACTCCCCACTCCACCCTAACGCAGTGGAAACATCACACCACCAACTATTCCACCCCCCCATGAAAATTAATAAAATTTGGGAGCTACGCTCACCACAAACTCCTCCCACCGCACTCCACCATGCCTCATTATCCTCCACATGGCCTTCAACACGCACGTGGAGAACAAGAAGATTGCAGTGGATTGAATAACGGTGGAAGACAACGAATATTAAACGTAATTAGTTAAATATAATTAAAAAAATGGACTCCCGTCACAAACCGGCAAAAAATTATTTAAAAAATAAGTATAAAAGAGTTAAGAAAAAGAGTACACAGTTAAACAATATACGAGACGCCGACGGGTCACCGTGTCCGTTCGGGATCTTCTAGCTCTCACTAAAAAAAAGAAAAAAGAAAAAAGATTTTATAATTCAATTTGGGAAAAACGAAGATATACGGAAAATAAAATTAGATATTTCCAGAAAAACTGCTTCCAAACCAATACTCAAATCAAGAAAAAAATATAAAACCGTCAACTGATGAAACTGATTATTTTTTTAGTAATTATCTGAAAAGGTAATCGGCTTAGTAAAACAATGGGGGAATTAACCAAAAGAACCGCGGTTTCAATTTCTAGGGTTTTGGGGGTGACAAGAAACGGAAAAAGTAGGTAGAACTGAGGAACTGACCAGGATGCGAGCAGCAAGGGAATGGGAAGGCCCGCGGTTGGAGAGAGCGGCGAGTGCGACTTCGGCGGCGGCGTGCTCCGCCTGGCGGAGCGTGGAGCAGAAGGTCGGACTGTCGAATACCTCGCCGTTGAAGTTGACGGTAGCTCTGAAGCGAGGAGCGTGATCGGGTCCTTCCCTTACGCAGGTATAAGAAGGAAGATTGAAGCAGCTCCGCTGTGCTAGCTCCTGCAACTGGTTCTTGTACATCCTCTCAATTCCTCCCTAGTTGCTCACCCTCGCCGATCGTTAATCAGTTTATCCGATCCTAATCTCAGACTCCCGCAGCCGGATGAAGTTCGGATCTAGTCGATGACTGTTGTTACCGACAAAATTTTCCGGCGAGAAGACGCCGGAGCCGCCGCACTGTGCCAGATCGAATGGCCGGAGATTTTGGACTTGGAAGCTCGTTTAGGGATCTCTCTCTCTCTCTCTCTCTCTCTCTAAGCGAGGAGGGACAGTTATGGGGAAGCGTAGAACGGTAATAAAAGCTCCTCTAAAGAATTTATGCATGTATATTTATTTGAATAATAAATATAAGGGAAGTTTACATACATACCACTTAATTTTTCTGTATTTATAAATCAAGCACTAAAAATTTGATCCTTGTATTTGTAAGTATCAAAATATATAAAAGATGTATTCTAATTATAAAAATATAATAAAAGAAGTGTTTTGATGTGATATTAAAAATTGTAAGTGTTATATAAATAAATATGAAAGTTTAGTCCGTAAATATATAAATACATAAGATTTGTGCGGTAAATGACTCTAAATATAATTGGTGTTTGAAATTAATTTTTTTTAATCAAGAATAAAATATAAATAAAATATTCACTAGCTATTTTAATCCCAAATTATACATATATTTTATTTAATTTTTAAATTTAATTAATATAAGTAAAAAATAATTGTTCCATTTCACTATTTTTTAATCACATAATTAAAAAATAATTTTTTTTGGCATATTTGAACATAATTAAACAAATAAATTTTATATATTAAATAATTTGAGGTTAAAATGCTTTTAAAAAAACAATCTAACGACTATTTATATTTTTTTAGTATTTATTTATTTTGTTTATTATTACATATTGGTTCTCCACCCAATCTTATTTTTCCACGTGGATAATAAAGTGTGGCGGTTTTAGATAAGGAGAAATCTAATTTATGAAAGCTTATTAACTCTAATCACAGATATTCTGCCAATCTAATAAAGGAAAAAAAGATGAGGGAACGGTTTGGAGAGCTATTAAATAACTCTTTTTTAGTTATTCACTTTTTGGGATTAAGGTTAGTAAATTCGGATGTACTCATTTAACTCACAACCGTTTGGTAACCCCTTACATGTAGTTAGGGTTTTATACGAGTCGTGTTTCGGCGAACTCAGGTTTAACTCGTATTTGGCTGGTTTTAAATTGCTCTTATTCATATTTGATGTTCGTTTAAATTAATTAAAAAAATTGATGTAAGGTTATAGTTTGAACACGTGCCTATTTTGTGTGAATTTATAACCACATGATCACAAAAACTGCTGTGACTTAAATTTACATAAGAATATATATAATTTTTTTTTTATTTTAAGCTAAAATGAGTTAAACAAAAGTAAATAAAATGTTGTTTGTATTCAATTTATTTATAATTTGAGCTGAAGAAAATTATTCGTGTTTGACTTATTTACTTAACAAACAGTTCAAACACACGCGGTTCACAAGCTTTAATTTTAATTGGTTTTTTTATTAAATATGAAAAATATAATTTTAATATTTTATATAATAACATATTTTAAAAAAATATTGGCCATTTACACGCTTGTTGTTAGAAATTGATGTTTGAACTTTATGATACAAATTCTAAAAATACATATTAGTTAAGTTCTTTTAAATTCATGATTTTTACATCTCCATAATAAAGTAACACATAACTGTATTCATGATGATAAATTTTGATCTTGAAAATACAGAGTTTCTCTCTCTAATCCCTTCAAATTTTATGTATTTTCTGATGTAGAGAAATGTACGGGGACTATATATGACATATTATCTGAATTATGTTCTATTTAACCACCATCCATCAATGGGGTTACTAACCAATAGAATTTATGATAATTTAATAAATTAATTGATTTTATTATTAAAATCAATGACCATCATCGATCACTCTTTGCTCATCAGGTGAAGCTCCGTGCAAAATGAAGAAACAACCTATGAATCGACGTGTCATCCTAAATGTCATATCGATGCAATGATGGTGTATTGATTCTCCAACAATTACTCCTCAATGCAACGGCTTCCTGCCTCAGAGCGTCAAATTCTTCTTTGCACAAATATTGTAACTAAAAAAACTATGCAATCATTTCCCTTTTGTGAGATAAGAGATTGTAAATGTAATCATCATCTCATTGTAGAATATATCAACTAGACACGATCTTATGGTTTTTCCCCTTTTCAATTTTTCATGATGTGTCTACCAATTATTATTTTTTATCCGACTATATGTTATATTATCGTACGACACTCTTAAATCATTTGCCTCTGTAAATTATCTAGCATAGATCAAATTGGTACTATATAGTGATGACTTCTTTGCCTACTATATTATTAATATTTAAACCACTAAAGACTCCCTAGAACTTCTTAATGTGAAATATGAATAGTCAAACATGCGGGAGAATACATGGCCGCAATTTTTTCCCGAGCCTCAGATTTGCCGAATAAACATCTAATATCTAACCAATAATAATTTTCAGCAATTTTTTAATATTGATTTTTTTTTTATTTTTAAACCCTATTTATTTTAAATTTACAAAGCAAGCGTTGACTTTAATTTTTGATATAATTTTGCATCGCAATAATTTTATTTTCAAATGAGATGGAAAGTCAATTGTTGAGCAGCCTTTGTACGTTGCATTTTTAGTCACAAATACCGACTTTTGAACGGGGGAGTTCGCTTCACACCAAATGTCAATGTCATAAATAAAAAGTCGAACTCTCTCGCTTCTGCATCATTAAATTTTATCATTTTATATATAAAATTTTTCATAAATTTCACATAATTTTTAATTATATATTTATATATCTAAAATCTAGCATTTGATATTTATAGTTATAATGCAACGAGCAATTCATGAAAATGAGTTTTTTTTAGTTAATAATTGATGCGTGCTAGAAAATTTACGGCGGGGGGGTAACAAACAAACTATCGTCTTAACATTGCACGACAGTTCAACGCACACGTAAATGAAAGAGAAACAAACAGTGATGACTCCACAAGTTTTTACGTGGAAACTCCGTAAGGGAAAAACCACGGGGTCTGACCCAGTTGCGGAAATCCACTATTGATTGATGATTACAGACGACCGGCGGTGATGTTGAACTGCAGCTTCTCCTCAAGGCCTCAGACTCTCTCTCTAGACTTCAGATTCCCCTCATGTGAGGGGTGGGGTCTATTTATAGTGTTCTAGGTGCAATTAATACAGGAATATCAACCATTTTGATCAGACGGTCCAAATAGTTTCCTTCGGTCAGGCGACGTTTAATGGACATTTGAGTGCTTTAACGATGTCGGAATTGAGTGATATTGGGCTCGTTGGATTTGTCTTGTCGAGACGCTAGATTCAATTATAGACTTGCTAGTGTCAACATCGTTTGACCTTCCAAATGTGTCCAGAAATCTTACAATGATAGTTTAATCACTTGATTTTAAGCTTGATTTGACTCGGATTAGACTAATTTTTATATCATTAGGTCTATCTCATCGAACCGGTCAGTTTGACTATAAGCTTACTGAAATAGGAGCTGTGGATGAATTTTTATCAATATTTGAACTTTTCTTACTCAAAATATCATATTGGGATCGTGTCATATCTCGAGATTCGTGTCGGGTGATGAAAATTTATTGGCGGAGTATCAATAATAATAATATTTCTTATGTAATATAAAAATTTTAAGGGTTATATATATATACTTGCATATCTTCTTTTATGTTTTTCTTAAACAATGAATAACTTTTTTCTCTCACTAGAAGGCAGCGTGAATTTTACAATGTAGAGAGAGATTTTTTTTTATTTAAAAATTTGGAGAGAAATACAAATTTACTTTTGAAACATTTATTTTTGTCCTTGATATTTAACTATTCATATTCCTGTCCTTGATATTTAACTGTTCATATTCCACATGATATGATAAATAAATAAATCAATAATCTTTTTAGTCAACTCAAAATCTATTTGAATGGTTAGACCGGATTTTGAGCAAGTGTTCGGCAGTTTTGACTTTCAGCGAAATATTTTGGATGTCATCTACATCCTGCATTAATATCAAAGTAATGCACGGATTTCAAGATAATATCGTAAGTAAAAAATATTCAAACATTGATTAAAGATCGTACGGAGCTTCAATTTCAACAAACTTAAAATCAAATTGATCGGGTCGACTAGACGAACCTAGTGGTACCAAAATTGATTCATTTTGAACCAAATCGAGCCTCGATCAGGTTGTTAAACCACTTTTGGATGTTTTCTAGAGATATTTAAATGATCAAATGAATGTCGAATCAAACAAGCTTATAGTTGAATTGAGTGTCTCGACAAGACGAATCAATGAGCCCAATATCACTATATTCAAACATCATTAAAGCACTCAAATATCCATCAAATGTCGTTTGATAAAAAAAAAAATAACCCTCTAGATCATTCAATCAAAGTGGTCCGTATTCCTGTATTATTTGCACCTGAAACTCTATAAATAAGAGCTCTAATACCTCTTATGAGGGGAATAAGAGGTCGAGCATTTGAAAAATAGCTTGAAACTTTGAGAAAAAACAGAAGTCTTTTATCACTCATGCTCCCTTCGACCACCGTCGATAGTCGTCAACCACAACCGACCCTCATCGACCACCACCTGACATCCACCGCGCATCGCTATCAGTCACCGTTGATCACTATCATTCACCGTCCGTTCCTTATAACAAGTTCATCTGCACACCGACGTTGTAATTCGAGATAATTTGTGGGATAAGAAGACTCTGTAATCATCAGCTCATAGTGATTTTTTTACAGTTAACTCAGACCCCTTGATTTGTTCCTCTTACGGGTTTTTCACATAAAAACTCTTAGTGTCTTTACTGATTGTTTTCTTATACATGAGTGTGCTGAATCTTCATGCAAAATTAAGACAATAATCTATTACTTTACCACCGTGAATTTTCAAACACGCATCAGCCTTAGTTATTATAATGATTTTAATCCTATAAAATATATTTTAAACAATAAAAACACAAATGTTTTAGAGATATTAATTTATAGCCACAAAAAATAGTTACATCAGAAAGTAAAAATCATTAAAACTCTTCACATTTAAGGTCAGTAAATTTTTTTTATTATTAAAAAAATAAATAAAACTAGAGTCATTTGATAAATTATAGTCAATTTCAAGCTTTTCTTTTAAACTTGAAATCAACTTCAAGTTTAGTGCTATTCCGATGTAGAGTCCAGTTCAAATTGAATAAAAAAAAATATAAATGATATCCAATAAAATAAAAAACATAATATGTTTAAAATTTATTTACATGAATGTCACACAAATTTTATATATTTATATATTCAATTATTGAAGTTTAATATATTTACATATAAAACACTTTAGTGCCTTAACGTACTTCACTAATGTGATCTGAAAATATATTAAAATTATGTACTAGGCTGGTAAATACATATATTATTTCATAAGTTTAGTTATATAAAAGTCATATACTGATAAATTTTGAGTCAAATTGTGATCAAATTTGAATACTCACAACCAAATAATTATTATAAGTTATTTTTTTATTGATTAAAACAAAATTTTTATTGTTAGCACTTGCTTAATGATTGGAATTGATTTGAGTAGATTTTAGAGGGAGAATTTTGGAAAATGGATGAGAGGGTGGTGTTTTTGTAAATAACAAGTTTGGGGTGGTCTATATGTAAAGCAAGGTGGTAGTTTTATAAATAGAAAAATTTCCATGGTTTGTCTGTTTCTCGATAGATTCTCCTCCGGATGTATTCCGTCCTGCCATCGGAATATGTCTCCTCTGCAAGTCAGGGCTACTTATCCATCTTGGATTAGGGTTACCAGCGAGCTCTTCATTTCGCGAACAACACTGTCTCAAATCTCTGAGTTTTCCTCTTAGTTCTCTTCGATTTCTATCCTATATTGGATTGCGCTTATGTGCTGAAACAAACCCAGGTAATCTTCTGATTTTTTTGAATAAATTTATCTTGTTTTACTTGAAGTTCCTCTGCTGGAATTTCCCTTGTTTTTCTACAATTTCGCAGAGTTTATCACCGCTAAACCGATTTATTTAACCATTTCCTGTAACAGCAACTGATTATAATTCAATAGAAGTAGACGGATCAATTAGTATCATGACTTGTAATCTCCAGATTGAATGAAAATTCGGTCTAGACGATATAATAACTTCTTTGTTGTTGAATGTCTTCACATATCCTTACCAGAATAAATTTTACAGTAAATATAGTCCTTCTTTAGCTATCTGGATGAAAAGGGTTTTGTGCTGACAGAATTGTTAAATCTATTCACATTGTTTTTTTTAACTATGTTGATTTACATTCATGCTTGAATTTGAAACATGACAAAACAAATACTCATCGAGGCAAAATTCTTCGTGGAAGAACATAGTAGAAAATGTTAAAAAGTTTGAGTTGGTAAGATTTCATATCAATGAGAAGGCCCTAAATAGATCTATTCCTGACATTGATAAGGATACCATGTGTGACATAAGAACCTTTGGTTTCATAATGCGTGTGTAGCAATCTATATCTTGTGATTGTATTGATCAAACAATAGAGCTTCTTGAAGAAGAAAATCAGGTTGAGAGTTATCAAATGGATAAATAACATTCCCTGATGATTTGGTATTATTTAATGTGGTGACTCCTAGATTTTGGCTAATTGAGAGGTTGTTTAGATTCAACCTTACATGAAGATATTTAGATGAACTTTAATCGTCGACAATTAATAACTTTTTTTATACTTTGATTTCCTTACATCACCTACAAAAGGTCCTATAGAATGTACAATATATGTAGAAAGCCTTAATATCTCGAAGGCACATATTGTGCACCCAAAATGCATGTAGAAAGATTTCAACTTACACATGAAACAACCTTTCGATTGTCATGGATTTTGTCCCCATAAATTCAATAATGTCTCTCGCTAACAATGAGTTCTAGAAGCCTAAATGTTAGTTATTTAAAGAAGGTCATGCCAAAACATTTTTTTGCAGAAAGTATGCCTTTATGATAGAGTTCAACCTTTTGTTGTCTAGTGCATAAGATTCTATAGTAATGATATGGAAAAGCAACAAAATATGATATAATGCTATTAGAAAACTCTCAAGAAAATATTATATCCTCTATATATTTGCTCGAATGACTCTTAAGATTGGAAGTATAAATAGCATTGAAGAGCTTGAAATTACAAATTTTGGGGAAAAAAATTCAAATTGGCGTCGTTTCCGTAAAAGGGTATAAATTCTCTCATAAGGAAATTTTATTTTATTAATAGTATTTGATTATATCCAAATATTAGAATGTCATCTGATCAAGCTTAAACATAAATTCAATCATATATTAATTAACAAATAAAAAAGATGGGTAATTAAAAAAAAAGGAAAGTTAACGAGTAAGAATGATTCATTCTCTTCGTGTTGTAAAACCACCTTCAATTAAAATTTAATTCAATATTGGTTCAACTTTAAAGTGTTCTAGTAAAATATAAACAAATTGTAGAGCGTTAAGTTAAGAATTTTGAATTCACATATTTTTTACAATGCTTTTGAAAATTATTTCGGTATTGTTAATGAAGGTCGCATTCTCAATTGCTAGAATAGTTTATTATAAATCAATAATTTGAAACAAGCTTCAAGGAGGTTAGATCCTTTATTTTTATAAACAATCTACTCCTATGGACATTATTTATGAAAATAAATTATGCAACAATTCTTTTAAATGCTCATAATGAAAACTATATATATGAATAGATGAATAGAATTTCAATTGTTACAAGGAAAATTTTTTTTGGGGTACTTTACATAATATGATGATTTATGCATTTGTTGCTAAGCTCTATAATTCTAATAAGCAAATGCCTTATGTAGTTATTTGCTTTTTTTTGAGGAATTTTAATAGGACAGTAGGATAATTTCCCGTCTTAAAATATTTTAGTTAACGAGTTGGAGTTGAATCCTACTACTACTTAAATTGTCACAAAAATGTGCCTTTTATGTTATGGCACTCATAATACCCAAACTCTTATTGTATCTATCTTTGATTAGGGGGGAAGAGAATTAGGTCATTTTTTTTCAAAAGTTGTGATGCCCAACTCTAACCTAAGTTTGATGGTAGAAAGCAAGTTTTTAAAAGTGTTGTTTCCTCATAAAGTCGAAAATTAATCCTACTATACTCAATGGCAAAGGAGAATGCATTTTACGTTATGATCCTAACATTTTTTGCATCTATCTCTGGTTCGGAGGATGAGGATTTGGTCTCTTTTTCAAAAGTTGGGATGCCAAACTCTAACATATGTTTGATGGTTCAAACGAAGTTTTTGAAAGTCTGATTTGGTCTTAGTTTAATAATTTAAAATTTGATATTTTTTATTGCTTCATAAGTCGTAGGATTTTGCTTTAGTTTTGGCATCATTACATATTTTAGAAAATATGTGTAAGGTTTGAAACAAAGAGGATTATCTAATTGAAGTGCAAGTTTGAACACTAGAATTAGTGGACATAAATGTTGGAATTATAATAGAATTTTAATGACCGCTCAAGAGGTTTAACGAAATTTTATTCAATACCTATGAATTTTTGGTGAAACTCTTGAATCTATTTTTTCATTTCATCAAAACTCTTAAACTTTGCTTGAAACTCTTCGAGTTAGCCAAACCCAAAATACTAGTTAGTTTCGTGCCGATTTCAAACAAATTGATATGAAACTATTGAAATCAAATCAAAATCATCAAAACTCAAAATTAAGGTGTAAAGATGCTTTTCTAATTATGATGATAAATTTGACAAAGGCTACTAATAGCCATTGAAAATAATTTTTTTTTATATCTCACCTAAACTTTTTATCAAAATGGTAAAAATAGCTCTCCATAAAGCTTAAAGAGGAACAATTCCTTATACTTGCTGGGCTTGTTATAAATTAAACAATTTATGTATTCAAGAAAAAAAAAACTTCATGCATTGAATTAAATCTAAAACATCAATTAAGGAAGGACAAGGCTCACAAACTAGATGTAGCTAGGAGAATTCTATCATTAATTTTTCCATGACACTAAAATTTCCCAAATCAAGTGTAAAAGAGAATTGATAATTCTTTTTCATATGGATAAAAAACGGAGGAAACATAAAAGGGGTGTAGAGAAAAGGGCGAAGAAAAGATTAAGAAAAAAGAACATCAGTTCAAATGTTACAAATATGATAAAACTGGTTGTCCAAATAGATGCAAGGTAAAAAAGAAACAAAATTATGCGCTCCAAAAATTTGACGTCCCAATATCTCGTCATTGTTAAGAGCTTTTGTCTTTGCTCCTAGCCAATTTTTCTAGAAAGTAGATTGAATTGTATGTAAGACACTACACAAAAATTTCACTATCATTCTTGTGACGACTTTTTGATTTGGGGTTCGAGGTTTTACATAGACACAAACCCCTATGGTTAATTATATCTTTTGATCACAATAGAACACTTTTGATTAATTTAGTCATCAAACATTGAATATTCAACATATAATAGTAGTAAACTTTGGGTTTTAGATTCTAGTCAAGATAGTTTGTGAAGAAAATGATGATGAATTCAATCAAGATTCTATAATTCCGTCATCACGAGTCGTCGTGGTTCCTAATCTACTTAGTCAGAGGACATAGTCGACTCAATTTAACTGAAAAATCCTTATCAGCAACAGTAATTTGCATCGTCCAAGGGACTCTTATAGAGCTAAAATGGGTGTTTGTCCAAAAGGACAAATTTAAGTCAACCTTATTGTTCACAACTTGAAGGGTATAAAGCTATTGAAGAACATACGGGTTGCAGTTGTAACTATAAAATAGTTGTGGTATTCGGTGACAACTACTCGGTTAGGGGACTCTGATCATGACTGTTATTTTTTGTGGAGTCTTTAGGCCAAACCATGCTTATAAAAGACTCGGGTCACATCCTTTTTAACGTGAGATTGTTTTGAATGCGAGTAATACACTTGATATGACATTCATTTTTTTGAGCTAAAATCAATTAAAAGTTTATTACCCTCAACAAATTATTGCGTAGGGCAGACGAAGTTTGCTTTAAGTCTTTAGGTGATTTAATTTTAAATTAAATGTTTTAGTTTGTTTCTTTTAAAATTTGATTTGAAATTTAATTTAAAAGTTGGCCCTTTTGATTGAGTTCTTCAGTCAACACAATCATTATTAGGGAATTATACATCTGAAACATTTATGCTTGAAATTTATTTGATGTTTAAACACTTCTTTATCAATAAAATGTTTGACTTGTCAATTACAGTCCTTATGAAGAGGAGGATACGACTAGATGATTTTTACTTACAAAATTTATGCATTGTATTGACTTTATTAAAAATACTAGACTTGTTGACTCCAATTTTTAAGAGAAGGATCGAACTAGTTGAGTGAAACTTACAACCCTGCCCTATAGATAAGACATTTTGATTGAGAGTGTGCTTAGATTGACTATCTTAGATTTAATTTTTCAAACATAAGAATTCCTTAATTTAGAATAATTATAAATTTTTTGAATAAATTGGGCATGCTTCTCATAACAAGGACCATTTGAATGAACATTTAGCCTTAAACTGTGTAATAGCCAACATTCCCAGATCATTTAATTTTAGGCATTTAGTTAATTTCATGAAGCACATGCGAGTTTATGGTTTTATATATTTGAATAATTTCAATAAAATTTTTTGACTCTAATCGACTTGGATGATCTTTTAAAATAATGAATTTGAGATGAAGTTCGTTTCAAAAAGCATATGCAAAAATCTAAATCATGAATAGTTGACTTATTTATATAAATGCTTTAAAACAAACACAACTTGAGAATATCCAAACTTTCACTCACACAAGTCTTAACATAATCTCACTGATTTCAAAGTGTTGCATTTGATTTAAGAAATCATTTTGAAATATGTATAACTTGAAATCATGC